AAAAAAAAAAAAAAAACCATACATATATATTCATATTCACGGTTATATATAACTACAACTCTATACATCTTCTTTCCTAGTTTTCTTCCAAAGGTATTTCTCAAATATTTTATTTCAGAGCTCTCTTCTGTTCCTCTGCTTGAAAGTGGAAAAAAAAGAAAAGAAAAAAAGCCAGGTGTGGTGGCTCACACCTCTAATCCCAGCACTTTGGGAGCCCGAGGTGGGTGGATCACTTGAGGTCAGGAGTTCGAGACCAGCCTGACCAACACAGTGAAACCCCATCTCTACTAAAAATACAAAATTAGCCAGGTGTGGTAGCATACACCTGTAATCCCAGCTACTTGGGAGGCTGAGGCAGGAGAATCGCTTGAACCTGGGAGGCTGAGGTTGCAGTGAGTTCAGATCGCGCCATTGCACTCCAGCCTGGGCAACAAGAGCGGAAACTTTGTCTCAAAAACAAGGGGAAAAAAAAGAGCTCTCTTTTCTAATTTCCACGAGGCAAATGAAAACATAGCTTTTAATGAGTCCCGTCACTTGTCTTTAAATGCCTCTCCACCCAATTTCTAGCTACAGTCAATTCTTCAAAAGTTAAACACAGACCAAGTGGGGTGGATCACACCTGTCATCCCAGCACTTTGGAAAGCGGAGGTGAGAGGATCACCTAAGTACAGGAGTTTGAGACCAGCCTGGGCAACATGGCTAGACATTCGTCTCCACACAAAATTTAAAACATTGGCCGGGCTTGATGGCATGCACCTGTAGTCCCAGCTACTCAGGAGACTGAAGTGGGCAGACTGCTGGAGGCTGCAGTGAGCCATGACTGTGCCATTGCACACCAGCCTGGGTTAAAGAGACCCTGTCTCTAAAAAATTTTTTTAAAGTTAAACACAGTTACTTTCTGAACTCCCCCTTTTTCACAGAGCTTGGATTTTCTTTCTTCTTTTTTTTTTAATTGCTATTCACTGAAATTCTACTACGTGGCCCCTAGGGAGTTATGACTGCATGGACAGGCATGACTTTAAGCTAGACATTTGAACAAGTTCTTTCAGTACTAGTGGTAGGAAATAAATAACAATCCAGCTGGGCGTGGTGGCTCATGCCTGTAATCCCAGCACTTTGGGAGCCCGAGGCGGGTGGATCACCTAAGGTTGGGAGTTCAAGACCAGCCTGACCAACATGGAGAAACCCCATCTCTACTAGAAATACAAAATTAGCCGGGTGTGGTGACACATGCTTGTAATCTCAGCTACTCAGGAGACTGAGGCAGGAGAATCATTTGAACCTGGGAGGCGGAGGTTGCAGTGAGCCGAGATTGTGCCACTGCACTCCAGCCTGGGTAACAAAAGTGAAACTCTGCCTCAAAAAAAAAAAAAAAAAAAAAATCCAAGGCTGGGTGCAGTAGCTCACGCCTGTAATCCCAGCACTTTGGGAGACTGAGGAAGGTGGATCTCTTGAAGTCAGGAGTTTGAGACTAGCCTGGCCAACACGGTGAAACCCTGTCTTTACTAAAAATACAAAAATTCACCAGGATGGTGGCTGGGTGTCTGTAATCCCAGCTACTCAGGAGGCTGACGCAGGAGAATCACTTGAACCTGGCAGGCAGAGGTTGCAGCGAGCCGGGATTGTGCTACTGCACTCCAGCCTGGGCGACAGAGCCAGACTCTTGTCCAAAAAAAAAAAAAATCTAGAAACACCCAAAGTAATAATTTTATGTTCCCCCAAACTTACTGCCCAGTTAACAGCTGGGTTACAGTGATTTTCAAACTTTTGTGACTGTGACTCACAGTGAGAAGTACACATATCTGTATAAATGCCTGAAACAAATGTTTTGCCAAACACTACTTACCTTTACTACATGGGTAAAGGTAGTAATGTTTTCTGTTCTGCTCATTCTGTTTCATTTTTGTTAATGCTACTGGGTTGAATCATATGAAACACGTCTGTGTAGTGAGAACTGTCAAATATGGGCAATTTCATACGGTTCAACCTATTTGTGACACTCATTTTACAATCCACTTCCTTAATGGAACACATCCCATAGACTGAAAAATGTTGCTAAGTGGGCATGTTTCCAGTTAATGTTTTTTTAATTACTTTTTTTTGAGATGGAGTCTTGCTCTGTCGCCCAGGATAGAGTGCAATGGCACGATCTCAATTCACTGCAACCTCTGCGTCCCAGGTTCAAGTGATTCTCCTGACTCAGCCTCCCGAGCAGCTGGGATTACAGGCCCCTGCCACCACGCCCAGCTAATTTTTGTATTTTTAGAAGAAACGGGGTTTCACCATGTTGGACAGGCTGGTCTCAATTTCTTGACCTCATGATCCACACGCCTTGGCCTCCCAAAGTGCTGGGATTACAGGCGTGAGCCACAGCGCCTGGCCCACTGGTTTCTGTTTCTTTGAGAAAGGATCTAACTGTCATGGAAGCTGGAGTGCAGTGGCATGATCACGGCTCACAGCAGCCTCATCCTCCTGGGATCCCACCTCAGTTTCCTAGGTAGCTGGGACTACAGATGTGCACCACCACACCTGGCTAATTTTTTTTTTTTTTTTTTGAGACAGACTCTGTCACCCAGGCTGGAGTGCAGTGGCACAATCTCACTGGAACCTTCGTCTCCTGGGTTCAAGTGAGCACATCTGGCTAATTTTTGTAGTCTCCCTATGTTGGCCAGGTTGGTGTTGAACTCCTAGGCTCAAGCAATCCACCCACCTTGGCCTCCCAAAGTGCTGGGATTACAGGCATGAGCCACTGTGCCTGGCCCACTTCCCTGTTTTAAGGGCTTCATGGAATCCACATGCACCTAACCCGGCTTAGATAACCTGCCCTCACTGGAGGCACTTGTTTTTTCCAACTTCTTGCTGTTCCAAACCATGCCACAGTGAACTTCCTTGTCATAAACGTTCTTGTGCAATGCCAGAGTTTCTATGGTGCAAGCTCCTCAAAGCAGGACGGCAGACTCCTACCATCTAGGCACTTACCATTGATCTTAGCTGCGTTTAAAGGCCTCTGGGTAAGGGCTGTGCTCAGTTTCTTCCTTTGCGAGTGTCTGATGGAGAGTAAATGGTGCCGACTGAAGGGTCCCACTCAGGCACCCTATCTGTCCAGCCCTCCTCTGACAACAAGCCCCTTTCTGCAAGATGGGAAGCTCTAGTTTCTTCCAGACCTCTCTCTCTCTCTCTTTTGAGACAGAGTTTCACTGTCGTTGCTCAGACTGCAGTGCAGTGGCGCTATCTCAGCTCACCACAGCCTCCACCTTCCGGGTTCAAGCGATTCTCCTGCCTCAGCCTCCCGAGTAGCTGGGATTACAGGCATGCGCCACCACACCCGGCTAATTTTTTATTTTAGTAGAGATCGGGTTTCTTCATGTTGGTCAGACTGGTCTCGAACTCCCGACCTCAGGTGTTTAGCCCGCCTCTGCTTCCCAAAGTGCTGGGATTAGAGGCAAGTGAGCCACCGCACCCAGCCCTTTCCAGGCCTCTCTCTAGGCAAACTTCATGGAGGCGTGAAGACAGTATGCTTTACCATTGACCAGACCTGAGTTTGAATGTCACCCATGCTCCTTAAACTCTCTGGTTTCCATTATCATAGCTACCAAAAGAATATAAACCTCTCAGGGTTGCAGGGAGGATGAAGCTGAACACGTGGAGTACGTTGCAAACAGTTACTCCGGAGTTAGCCATTGTCTTCAGCTGGTCCTGACAGGTCTTTCCCAAGCATGAAAGGCTCCTCCGTGCTGCCTATTCACATTTACCCTGCTGGGACCCGAATTAAGACAATAAGGTTCTCCTGAGTTTACAATCGGCTTGGTCCCAGGCCTCAGTTTCCTGAAGTTGGACTTCTTTTTTTAATTTGTTCTTTTTCACCAAGTAAACGTTGGACTTCTTGAGCGCCAAGGTAAAGAACGACACTCTTGGACAAAGCCATTCATTCAACAACAAATATTTATTGAGAACCTACTACGTGCCCGCCACTGTGCTAAGCATCATCTGGGCCTCAGTTCTCCCATCCGCAAAAGTAGGAATTGTACTTTTCAACTAGGAACCGCTGGGCCTCTGGGGACCGGCAGCCTTCGGGGCGGACTACGATTCCTTCATTGGAAGCCAAGGGCGCCCCGCACGTTTCCGAACGGCCTCCAGGGGGCACTGCCGCCCTGAATTGAGAGCCATCGGAGCGGGGTATGGGAAGGCTCAACTTTCTGCTCTGTCATTGGCCGACTGAGGATGATGCCGATGGCCCAGATGAGCAGGATGTGGACCGTGTTTCTGGGAACTGGGGCCTACATTGGCCCCAGGATGAGTCCGTCCGTCCCTGGGGCCCTGCGTTCTGACTCTCGGGTCAGACGCAGCCAAGATACAACTCAAGAACTTCAAGGTTTCCGCTCCGGCCGAGCGCCCGGGTCCGGCAGGGGAAAGGGTGAGGGTGTCGGCCTCGCTCCCCCAGCCTCAGCCCTCGGGAGGCGCAGCGTCAGGGCGGGCGGCCGCGCTGAAGCCCCCTGCGCCACTAGAGGGACTCTGGCAGCAGCGGCGCGGGCCGGCCTTCTGGTCACGTGCGGCGAGGGCGGGACCAAACCAGCGGCCGGCCAATCGGCTGTGCCGTCGCCGGGCGTGATAGCCAATAGGAGCCGGGAGCGGGGTCCCGGGACTGGAAAGAAACGGTGGCCGGGAGGGGGCTCCGGGGACCATGGGGCTCCTGGCCATTCTGAAGAAGATGAAGCAGAAAGAGCGGGAGGTGCGACTGCTCATGCTGTATCCTCCCCAGCGCCGGAGCCGCGGGGGTAGCGGGGCCCCGCCGGGCGGGCGGTGCCGGGCGCCCCCTGCCGGGAGCGGAGCGCGGCGGCCGGCGCTTCCCAACTGCCCCTGGCGTCACCATGCGGGCCCCACCAATTGCCCCGGAGGGCCGGGTGGAAATGTACCCCCGGCCTGGAGCTGGGGCCAGCTCAGAGGGCCGCTGAAACGGGCCTGCAGGCGCAGCGGCGGGACCGGGCGGCCCGAGTGTCAGGGGTGGTGGGACCCGGAGCTGAGTCGGACGCCACCACCCGGCGGCCTGGCCCGAGCGTGAGGCCGCTGCCCTCCCAGCTCTGATCTCCTCCCTGCAGCCCGAGGGTCCCAGGCCCCGGCTCCGTCCTCGAGCTCCTAATTCCGGGGGCGTGCGGGGTGGCGGGTGTGGGCTCCTTGGATCCTTTCCAGCGTGGATCCAACAGTCCGTCTCTTTGTCTCTGCTGCTACGCGGCCCGTGGATGTCCCTGCGGCTGAGGATGTGTGGACCCGAGTGCCCCGTGCGCCCTGTGCGCCTTCTGAGTCCAGTTAGGCGCCTGCACCTGTTCCCCCTGCTCTGTGCCAGGCCCCGCGGGGGCATGGCAGGGGAGAAAAGACGCTTACATGCACATCTAACTTGATAATCACTTCATGACTGTTTTAGTTTTTGAGACAGGGTCTTGCTCTGTTGCCCTGGCCAGAGTGCAGTCAAGGCTCACTGCAGCCTTAAGCTTCTAGGCTCAAGTGATCCTCACGCCTCAGCCTCCCAAAACTCTGGGATTATAGGCATGAGCTACGGAGTCCGGCCCATGTCTGTTTCATTTTAATTTTTTTGAGACAGAGTTTCGTCTTGTTCCCCAGGCTGGAGTGCAATGGTGCAATCTCGGCTCACTGCAAAACAAAAAAATCTTGCCTTCGTGGAAATTCTGTAATGCAGGGCGGTAGAAAGATGACAACACAGGAAGTAAGTAAAATATGTGATACGGGCTGGGTACAGTGGCGCACACCGGTAACCCCAGCACTTTGGAAGGTGAGGTGGGAGGAACGATTGAGCTCAGGAGTTTATCAGCCTGGGCAACATAGTGAGACCCTGTCTCTATTTATACATATATACTTCTCCATATATACTGCATATATATGGGCCATGCTTTGGACCATGTTTCTGGGGAACAGGGCCTTATCCTGCCACAGGATGAACTCCCAGTACATATATATGTATATATGTGTGGAGAAGAATGCAATTTCCGGTGGTCGAAGAAAGCCACTGTATGATGGCTGGACTTGGTGGTTCATACCCGTTATCCCAGCACTTTGGGAGGTTGAGGCAGGTGGATCACCTGAGGTCAGGAATTCCAGACCAGCCTGGGCAACATGGTGAAATCCCATCTCTACTAAAAATACAAAAATCAGCTGGGTGTGGTGGCGTGCGTCTTTAATCCCAGCTACCTAGGAGGCTGAAGCAGGAGAATCACTAGAACCTGAGAGGCAGAGATTGTAGTGAGTCAAGATCACACCACTGCACTCCAGCCTGGGCTTCAAGAACGAAACCCTGTGTCAAAAACAAACAAACAAACAAACAAAACCCTCTCTCAAAAATTGAGTACATGAGGGAGGTGAGGGTTGAACCATGCAGCGATCTGGGGTTGGGGGGTACTTTAAAGCGAAGGCCCTGGGAGGACTAACGCGTGTTCAGAGAAATGGCAAGGCGGGCAGTGTGTCTGAGGAGAGCTGACTGGAAACCTAGGGCGTTTTGGTTCTTGGTTTTCCCTTTTGATGAGAAGTGCAGAGGAGACAAGGAATCAGACCAGTTAGGCCACTGCAGTGATGCAGGCGAGATAGGATGGTGGCTTGGACCAGAATGGAAGTAGTGAGGTCATGGAAGTTTCTGGCCTGAACAATTAGAAGGGTGAGGAGCCATTTGCTGAGCTGGAGAAGACCGCGGAAGGAGCACTTTCAGAGGGGAGATGGGAGCCCTGTATGTGCCATGTGAGATGCCTCTGGACAGCCCAGAAGTGTCAGGCAGACAGCTGGATGTAGGCACTGATGTCGTGTGTGGGAGGAACACGTTTGGGTGTTGTCAGGATAGAGATGGTGTTGGAAGCTGTGATCCTGGATGAGGTCACCTAGGGATGAGCCTTGCCCGAGAAGAGAACCCAGTTATACCAGGATAAAGTCAGAGAGGTGAGGAGGAGAACCAGGTGGGAGTATGTCCCCGTGCTGAGGACAGCATATGTGCTGGGGAGAAGGGTGAGCCCCTCCGACAGGTGCTGAGTGGGGCAGATGACTGAGGGCTGCTCCGGCACTGGAGGGCTGGAAGGAGGTCTTTGGGGATTGACCTTGGTAAGAGCAGTTTTGGGCGCAGCAGAAGCAAACGCCTGATGGGAGTGTGTTCTAGAAAGAGCAAAAAGGCAGAAACGGGTGAGCACAAACAACTATTCTGAGATTTCCTGCAACAAGGAAAGAGATAAATGGATAAATAGATGGGGCAGAGAGATCAAGGGCTTTGTTTGCTCTTTTTAAGGTAGGAGGAAGAACAGAAAGCTCATCAGCCAGTGGGGATGATCAAGAGGGGAAGGAAACATGGATGATGGCTTGAGGGCAGGGGCTTAGCAGCAGCCAGGTTCCAGGGGCTAAGGCTGGGCCTCAGGGAAAGTCCCCTCCTCACCCCTCTCCTGGGCCTGGGTCACTCGCCCCAGCTCTGATGAGCAGGGAGAGGTGGCCAAGTCCAGGACCTGCCCACCCCACCACGCCCCAGCAAGCTGCAGTGTTGGGAGGACAGAGGAGGGTGATTCTCTCACACAGGTAGGCACACCCATTACTTTGCACTCTGCAGTAGCAGGTCTGGAATATTCCAGAAACAGATGAGGGAGGCTGCCTCCAGATATTTGTTCTTCCCTTAGTTCTTCAGAAAGCTTGCTCCTTGTATTTTGGGTCTCAGCTCCAGACACCTCAGAGAGGCCTTTCCTGACACTCAAGCTAAAAGCGCCTCCTCTGACGGCCCTCTCAGAAAGCCTCTCTGTTGTGTTGATGGCGCTAGCCAGGATATGGCAGGGCCTTCTTTTCTCATTTGTTTGTTCTCTGTTGACTGTCTTCCCACTAGAGCGTAAGCTTCCTAAGGGCAGGGCTTTGTCCTCCAGCACCCAGAAGAAGGTCTGGCACATAGTAGGTGTTCAACAAACTAAGGAGCTTTTGGTCAGTAGAGATGATATTTGTATCTTGATACTTTCACATTTATCATGGGCCAGTTAAGGCCAGGCCTGTGCTCAACTCAGTTTGATCCGTGGTGGGAAATGATGAGTCCCCTAAGAGGGGCTCTGTGACGATGTCGCCACCTGGCAGAGCACAGGGACTTCTTAACCTGCTGCGCCTAGTGGCCTGGATAATGCTGGGAAGACAACCATCCTGAAGAAGTTCAATGGGGAGGACATCGACGCCATCTCCCCGACACTGGGCTTCAACATCAAGACTCTGGAGCACCGAGGGTGAGCAGGGTCCCCATGGGTGGGCCAGCCCAGAGCAGGGCAGGGAAGGTGGGAGAGGGGCCCAGCTGACCCTCCTGCCACCTGCTCCTTGCCCAGATTCAAGCTGAACATCTGGGATGTGGGCGGCCAGAAGTCCCTACGGTCCTACTGGCGGAACTACTTTGAGAGCACCGACGGCCTCATCTGGGTGGTGGACAGCGCGGACCGCCAGCGCATGCAGGACTGCCAGCGAGAGCTCCAGAGCCTGCTGCTGGAGGAGGTGGGCACTTCTACCCTTTGTGCACGCATGTGGATATGTAGCCGCCTTCTCGGCAGATGCCCAGAGGAGTCCATGGTCCCAGAGGGAAACCTAGAGGCAGGATCTATTCCTTCACTGGGCCTCCACCATGGGAGGCCCACGGCGCCGGAGGAAGGACACCTGTTGTGGACTGAGACTGAGTTAATATCCCTGTGGTGTGACTGCATCACTACCCTGAGCATCAGTTTCTGTGCCTTGAAATGGTGATGATGACACCCACCTCACCGGGCTTTAGGGAGGATGACCTAAGGCCAGCATGAAGCTTTGAGAGGCCATGCAGCCTGGCTCAGGAGTCTGACTCTTCACTATGTGACCTCAGCCAGGTGTGGTGGCGTGTACCTGTAGTCTTAGCTACTCCGGAGGCTCAGACAGGAGGATCAGTTGAGCCTGGGAGGTCGAAGGTGCTGTGAGCTGTGATCATGCCACTGCACTCCAGCCTCCTGGGCAATAGAGGGAAACCCTGTCTCAAAAAACATAAATAAAAATAAAAGAAGGAAAACTTGCAAAGATAGTACAGAGGTTCCCCATATACCCTTTACCTTGCTTCCCCATCTCACCTGACCGTGGTCAGTCCAAACTAAAAAATCACCATTGGTGAATTACTTGTATCTTAATTACAGATTTTAGTTCAATTTCATCAGTTTTTCCACTAACATATTTTTTGCTTTCCAGTGTTTGATTCAGGCTACAACATTGCATTTAGTTGAAAATGAGGATCCTTGTGAGAGCGAAGGGGTCATTAATGATTCTGAGGCAGAGGGGATTGTCCTGGGCACACCGCACACTCCTCCTGTGGGGCTGGGGCAGGCCAGACAAGATCAGGGCCATAGAATGCTTGTGAAGGCAGGTCCAGACCCAAGGGTTAGACCCGCCCACCCACATCTCTCCCAGTCACAGACACATATGTGGAAACAACTAGAATCAGAGGTGGACAGTAGGCCTGTTGGGAGTGAAAATGGTAAAAGGACAAACTCAGAAGAGAGAGAGGTCACTTCCAGCAGACCCCCATGGGCCTCTGGGATGCTCACATTCTCTGTGCATGTCTGGTCATCAGATTGGAGCAGTCTAGAACCACAGAGAGCTCAGGGATCATCTTATCCAACACCCCTCCTGTTTATGGAAGAGGAAGTTGGAGCATGGGGGACAGTGGTGTCCCCTGGGTGGTGGTTGGCGGTAACCAGAACCCCGGCCCAGGGCTGCCTCCACCCACGTGGGTCAGCCTTGATGGCTGTGTCCACCACCTCACTCCTCCTGGGCCTCTCCCACCACCACAGGCCTTACCTTGATCTTCCAGGTCGGTACTTCACCCCAGATGCTCTGGGCCATTAGAGGAGGCGTCAGTCTGTCCTCGAGTGAGTCCCCACCTCACCCCTCTATCTTGTCTCCCCCAGCGCCTGGCCGGAGCAACCCTCCTCATCTTTGCCAACAAGCAGGACCTGCCTGGAGCACTGTCCTCTAACGCCATCCGCGAGGTGAGTCCAGGCCCTGGGACAGGCTCACTGAGGGAAAGGGGCACACATTTCTCTATTTTAAAAGCCTTCATTAAAAATAACAAAAGAAGTTTAAAAAGAAGAATAATAAAAGCATTTATTAGCCCCTGCTAGGTGGCAGGACCTATGCAGGGCACTGGGGAGCCAGTGATTAATAAGGCGTGGAGTGGCCACAGTCTGGGGAAGGCAGAGCTGCACATGTGCTGTCATGGGGTAACAGCAGCCAGCACACAGTCAATGCTTTTGGTGTGCTCTGCTTCTCATATGGATTAACTCATTTCATTCTCACAGCAACCTCATGAAGTGAAGACTATTATTTTACAGATGGTGAAGCAGGCTCAGAGAGGTTAGGTAACTTGCCCCAGGTCACACAGCCACTAAATAGACAAGCCTGTCTGAACTTTGGTTTCCTCCTTGGTGAAATGGCCGACACAATCCCTGGCTCATGAGGGCTTGAGGGGAATGAGAGAGAGGACGTGTGGGACTCCTAGCATGATGCCTAGATCCTGGTGGACGCTCAGGAGCCCATGTTGCATTTACATCACTAAGGGGCAGCACTGGACTGGCGTGGCGCTGGACAGAGAGCCCAGGTGCCCCTGGGGGCTGACAAACTCTCCCAGGGGCCAGCGGGGCTTCCTGGATGGGATGACGTAGAACAGGGCCTTGAGGGAGGTGCGGAGCTCCCTGGGCTGGGGAGGGAAGGGGCTGAGGGCAGGCGGGGGCTGCGGTCACTGGCCATCACCACCCGCGCCTTTGTCCTCCAGGCCCTGGAGCTAGACTCCATCCGCAGCCACCACTGGTGCATCCAGGGCTGCAGCGCCGTCACCGGGGAGAACCTGCTGCAGGGCATCGACTGGCTCCTGGATGACATTTCCAGCCGCATCTTCACAGCTGAATGAGCCACTCCAGATGCCCCCCACCTAGCAGTCTAGGTCCCCCAGCCCTCACCAAACACTATCCACAGGGGGATGGGAGTCAGCCGGCCAGACTAACACTCCCCCTCCTCCACACCTAACCTGCTGCTGCTACTGCTGCCCGCTGCCGCTCTGTGGCGGGAGGGCTGTGCCCTGGCTGTCTCCCTCGCTCCTGACCTGGCCTTGGGCTGCCATACCAAGAAGAGAGGGCTAGGCGGGCAGAAGCTGCCTCTGTTGCTACCGAGGCTGTGGGCCTCATCCTTCGCTCAGCTGTGAAATAAACCGCTCCTTGTCCTGATTCCTGCTTGAGTTATTTGTTGATTCAACAGCGTTAGAGACCACCTGGGACCCACAGTCCAGCAGGGGACAGAAAGGAACAGATCATTGGAACTGATGGTGAACTATGGCTACATCAAAGGGATGCAGAAAAAGTTACAGAGCATGGGATACGGTGCAGCTAACTCCATCTAAAGGGGCCCAGGCAGGCTTCCTAGAGGAGGTTACATTAAAGCTGGGAGTAAAGCCTGAGTCGTTTTCCAGGTAGAGGAAGGGGAAGACAGTTCACCAGGGGAACTCCAGCCCTCAGGTATGAATTAGGAAAAGAGACACAGCTCCAGACAAGGGCTCCAGCTTTTTGCATGGAATGTGGGCTGAAATTCAGCTCCCAACCCGCAGTGGCAGCCAGGTGATCCTCCCACCTTGGCCTCCCAAAGTGCTGGGATTACAGGCGTGAGCCACCATGCCCGCCCTGGGTTTCCTTAAGAGTGGAAGAAGGGAAGTTAATGTTGGGTGGACAAGCCTAGAACATGAACAAACTGCCCTTCAGTGTACAGAATTAGAGCCGCTGCGCTGTCCTCCTCGCAAGATAGACCTGGTATTAGAAAAAAGGACTCAGGCTCTCAAACCTGGGCCCTGGAGCCAAACCCTGGCTCTGCCACTTGCTGGTTGATGCTAAGCAACTTGCCTAGCCTCTCTGTGCCTCAGTTTTCCTCCTAGTGTTGGAATGAGGAACAAACAGGTTGGTGTCTTTTTTTTGAGATGGACTCTCACTCTGTCTCCCAGGCTGGAGTGCAGTGGCACGATCTCAGCTCACTGCAACCTCTGCCTCCCGGGTTCAAGTGATTCTCCTGCCTCAGCCTCCCAAGTAGCTGGGACTATAGGTGCGCACCACTACGCCCAGGTAATTACTGTATTTTCAGTAGAGACGGACTTTCACCATGTTGGCCAGGCTGTTCTCAAAACTCCTGACCTCAGGTGATCTGTCCGCCTCAGCCTCCTAAATTGCTGGGATTATAGGCATGAGCCACCATGCTTGGCCCGGTTGGTGTCTTGTATGCCATAAGCACTGCGTAAGTGTCAGCTACAATTGTCATTATTTGAACCAGTAGGCCTATAAGCAAATTCAACTAATGTGAAGTCAGTCACCCACTGACACAGGTGTCACCCCAGTGTTGATGTCCTCCCAAAGGCCCTGAGGAGATAATGCTCTTCTTGAAAAGATGAATTAGGCCAGGCGTGGTGGCTCACGCCTGTAATCTCAGCACTTTGGGAGGCCAAAGTGGGCGAATCACCTGAGGTCAGGAGTTCACGACCAGCCTGACCAACATGGTAGAACCCTGTCTCTACTAAAAATACAAAAATTAGCCGGACATGGTGGTGTGCGCCTGAAATCCCAGCTACCCACTGGAGTGCAGTGAGCTGAGATCACACCACTGCACTCCAGCCTGGACAACAGGGTGAGACTCTGTCAAAAAAGAAAGAAAAGGTCGATTATTCATAGTTAGAGACAAATATGAAAATAACAAAGTGATATTCATCACAGAGGTCTCCACCACATGGTCAAGCATTCCCTGGGCGAGCTCGGGTAGCATCCCCTGAGGGAGTGTGGCGGGCAGCCCAGTGTGGTGCCCCTGCAGCCTCTCCGGCTCCACAGCCGTCTTTTTTTTTTTTTTTAATTTTTAAATTTTTTATTTTCCCATCACCCTGTTACTGAATTTTTTTTTTTTTTTTTGAGATGGAGTTTCACTCTTATTGCCCAGGCTGGAGTGTGATGGTGTGATCTCAGCTCACTGCAACCTCCGCCTCCCGGGTTCAAACAATTGCTCCTACCTCAGCCTCCCAAGTAGCTGGGATTATAGGCATGTGCCACCATGCCTAATTTTGTATTTTTAGTAGAGATGGGGTTTCTCCATGTTGGTCAGGCTGGTCTGGAACTCCTGACCTCAGGTGATCTGCCCGCCTTGGCCTCCCAAAGTCCTGGGATTACAGGTGTGAGCCACCGCGCCTGGCCCCTACTGCCACCTTCTGTTTGCTCCTCCTGGTGAGGGAGCTGGTGGGGTGGGAGATCTGGAGAAGGCCAGGGGCTAAATTGCTCTAGATGAAAAAGGGCTTGGAGGGGACAGGAAGAAAGAAGGGGAAAGGGAAGAATGTGGGAGATGCTGGGCCAGAGAGGGAGGGAAGATGGGTGAGAAGGAAACTGAGGCAACAGCCCTGCTGAGGGATCTTTGGAGAGGGGAGCGATGTCTGAAGGGGTCTTCAGAGGAGTCCTGGTGTGTGTTGAGTGGGGGGACATCCCCTATCCCTGGCCTCCTCCTGAACACCTGCTAGGTGAACCACCCAGTTCAGAACCACCAGCATCTGATCTGGAGTCTGCTTTTTTTTTTTTGAGACAGCATCCCACCGTGTTGCCCAGGCTGTAGTGCAGCGGCATGATCATAGCTCGCTGCCACCTTGAACCCAGTGACTCCAGAGCTCACTGTAACCTCAAACTCCCGGATTCAAGCCATCCTCCTGCCTCAGCCTCTGGAATAACTGGGTGTACAGACCCATGCCACCATGCCCAGCTAATTGTTTTTTTTTTTTTTTTTTTCCTCTTGTCACCCAGGCTGGAGTACCCAGGCTGGAGTACAATGGCACAATCTCAGCTCACTACAACCTCTGTCTCTCCGGTTCAAGGGATTCTCCTGCCCCATCCTCCCAAGTAGATAGGATTACAGGCACCCACCATCACATCTGGCTAATTTTTATATTTTTAGTAGAGACAGGGTTTCACCATGTTGGCCAGGGTGGTCTTGAACTCCTGACATCAAGTGATCCACCTGTTTCGACCTCCCAAAGTGCTGGGATTACAGGCGTGAGCCACTGTGCCTGGCCCCTAGCTAAGTTTTAAATTTTTCATGGAGTCAGGGTCTCGCTATGTTGCCCAGGCTGGTCTCGAACTCCTGGCCTCAAGTAATCCTCTCACCTTGGCCTCCCAAAGTGCTGGGATTACAGGCATGAGCCCCATGCCATGCTTTGCTTCTTTCTGAAGACCAAGACACCTTGCCTGTACATCTGAGTTCTGGAACAAGAGTGGCTATTCACAGTGGTTTCTCTGCACAAAACACCATGTATCATATTTAAGCCTCCCACCTTCATGCTGCATTTCAACAGATTTTCACTTCAATTCTAACACTTACTGGAGCAAAGGCGACCACCAGGCCGGGTTTGAGGACACCAGTCTCCATGTGGCCCACAGAGACACTACCAATACCACCAATTCTGTAGCTGTCCTGGAGGGGCAGAACCAAGAGCTTGTGAGTTGGTGGTAGGATGAGAGCCAGAGCTTCTGAGCAGCATAGTTCCACAACATTGCCATCTTTACAGGTGACTTTCCATCCCTTGAGTCAAGGCATGTGAGCTCTTGGCTCCCACCTGTTGTCACCATTCCAACCAGATATTGGCACAAATACTACCGTCAGGGCTGTAGACAATTTCCTAATGTACGTGCTGATTTCCTTAATGATTTCCCCCATCTCTTCTCTTTAGGGTGGCTCAGTGGGATCCATTTTGTTAACACCAACAATGGAAGCCAGAAGGGCTCACGCATTTGCCCATTCTTGGAAATACCAGCTTCAAATTCACCAACACCAGCAGCAACAATTAGAGCAGCATAATCAGCCTGAGATGTGCCTGTAATCAGCTTTTTGATAAGGTCTCTGCATCCTGGGGCATTGATGATGGTCACATAGTACTTGCTGGTCTCAATAGCCGGCAGGGAGGTGTCCGTGGTGATACCACTCTCACGTTCAGCTTTCAGTTTACCCAAGACCCAGGTATGCTTGAAGGAGCACTTTCCCATCTCAGCAGCCTCCTCAAATTTTTCATGAGTTCTTTTGTGGATTGCACCACATTTGTAGATCAGATGGCCAGTAGTGGTGGACTTGCCCAAATCAGATGACAAGGTTGAACTGAGTCTTTTCCCCCCGCTTCACTTTTTTTGAGATGGAGTCTCACTCTGTTGCCCAGGCTGGAGTGCAGTGGCCCGATCACAGCTCACTGCAGTCCCAACCTCCTGGATTCAAGCCATCCACCCAGCTCAGCCTCCAGAGTAGCTGGAATTACAGGTGTGCACCACCACGTTCAGCTAATTTTTGTATTTTTAGTAGAAAGGGGTTTCACCTTGTTGGCCTGGCTGGTCTCAACCTCCTGACCTCAAGTGATCCACCTTCCTCCACTGCCCAAAGTGGGATTACAGGCATGAGCCACCACGCCAGAGCCGCATTTTGGCTTTGATTTAACGGAGATTTTCATGACATCTGTGTTCTGGCAGCAAACCCACTGCAAAAAAGCTCCACTGCCCTAGGTAGGTTATATTATAAACATTTCCTTTCAACAGATAAGAAACTGAGGCTTCGTAGTTAAGGGAAAGTCCTACAGCTAATAAGAGTCGTGACTCAGAGCCCATGACACCATCCTGTTTCTCCAGCGTTCTTTGCTTCCTCTACTTTCCAGAAAATATGAATTGTGGAATCCTGTGGAGGGAGACAGGGAAATAATTTGACATTGTCTTGCACATACTAGACACAATAAGAGTTGGGTGGATGAATGAAAGGAGGGATTTGTGAAGTAGGGGAGAAGTCGTTTGGAGGTCTGTGACAAGGGATTACGCTCGGATAGGGTGGGCTTGATCACCTGGCAGAAAAGGGACAAGTAATCATAACCTCCCCAGCCAATCTTTCCAACTACCTAGGTTTACGCTTCACCACAGAGAGGGAACTTTTTAGACGCTCCCTTAGCCGAGCGCCCGCGACCAGAACAGCGCTGTCACTTGCGACCAAATCCCTGGGCCGAAGGAAGAAGGGCGCAGGCCCGGGAGAAGCGGCGGCGGGTGGAGGCCGGGCTGGAGGGGTGGGGACGGCGAGGCGGTGGAGGCCGGCGCTCCGCTCCGTTCAGCTCCAGCTCGGTTTCATGTCCCGCCAGGCGAAGGATGACTTCCTGCGGCACTACACAGTGTCGGACCCCAGGACGCACCCTAAA